GAAATTTGATTTGAGTAAAATGCCTCACTTCCTATTAGTTATTTCAGCAATCCATTTTTAATTGATTTGGATTTTAATTGCAGGACACATTATACAAACACTGTTAAAACTGCGCGTTGGGAGTACAGTACTCGTCCCGTCTATGGATGGGGTGATGTTGGGTCCAAGCAGAAATCAACAGCTGGCTGGCTTGCAGCTTTTCCCATATTTGAACCCCACTGGCAAATTTGCATGGCTGGTGGACTTTCAACAGGCACTTGCTTGTCTCCTTCCTATTGTCAATTAAACTTTGAATTCCTTTCCTCGTATTTCTCTTAAGTCTTCATCTTTGCTCAGTGTGCTATGTTGTTCACCATCTTCTCCTATCACCATGACTGAAATTTAATGTCTTAAGAAATCCATTTTTTCTGTTGAGAATATTTTCTCAGTTATGACTTTGGGTTGCAGGATGGATAGAGTGGGATGGTGAAATGTTTGAGTTTCAAGATGCCCCTTCATACTCGGAAAAAAACTGGGGTGGAGCCTTCCCTAGAAAATGGTTTTGGGTAAATCTCCGTTCTTTCATGCCTCCCTGAATGCTTATCTATCTATTGATCATGTTGATGCAAGACATTTGGTTGCATTGGGTTTTCCGTTGAATCAGGCTTAACCATTTTTCTATTAACCATGGTGATCATTCATCATTGACATATTACTACAGGTTCAATGTAATGTCTTTGAAGGTGCAAGCGGAGAGGTTGCACTGACTGCTGGTGGTGGATTGAGGCAACTGCCTGGCCTAACAGAGACCTTTGAAGATGCTGCATTGGTACTTCTGTTTTATCAAATTTTATTTTTTCCTTGCATTTCTTGAGTCGGTTAATGATTGCTGTAGCTTGAAAATAAAATAGCAGCTATAGAATGGAAGGAAAGGAGGAGAAGGGGGGAAACATGTTTACAATGGTTTCTTTTATCGTAAATGACCTGTTGGTTTTTCCACTTTAACCTAAGTTTCCTTTCTATGAAATCTGCTTGTCATTTTTATGCAAACAGGAATCTTGGACATATATTTTAGGATGTTCCCATTGTTTATTGCAGCACGAGCTTCAGTGGGTCTGTTGTTATTTCCTATGTCTAAAAAACTGAAGTGTTATTTTGTTGTTATATTATCATGTTTCAACAGAACTCGTTCAAACCACATCCTTCTTTTCGTGCGTCACTAATCATATATTGTGGTATCTGTATAAAACTTTTTAAGAATTGAATTGGATATTGTCACATCCCATATGCCTTGTATTCTGAACAAAATATGTTCTTTGTTTCAAACTACTAGATTCTATTACCTGACATATGAACGGACCTTTTACTGCTTTTGCAGATTGGAGTGCATTATGATGGGGTTTTCTATGAGTTTGTGCCATGGAATGGTGTTCTATCTTGGGAAATTGCTCAATGGGGTTACTGGTACATTGCTGGGGAGAACGAGGCACAGATGGTAATATTTTATCGCTGTTGGTGATATTTCCTTCCCATCATTTTGCTAGTGTAAAGAGTTTTTATACCAAAAATCTGAACTTTGCAAATATAATATCTATGTACATTTAGACCTTGTGGATTATTAAAGCTTACAAATAGATTATGCTACGGTCTAAATGATTGTAAAACTATTGTGCTGTCTAATAATGTTATCAATGTATTTGGTTCCTACTTCTGAGCAGGTTGAGTTAGAGGCAACAACAGATGATCTGGGTACAACACTGCGTGCTCCAACAAAAGAGGCCGGCCTTGCTCCTGCTTGTAAAGACACTTGTTTTGGTAATCTAAGTTTGAAGATCTGGGAAAAAAACCATGATGGCACTAAGGGGAAGGTATGGTTTGTTACTTTCTTGGCAGTTATGCACTTAGCTGTTCATATAAACACGAGGTTCTGTGATCCAATAGTTCTCTGTTTTTAAGGATTCTGTTGGTATTTACTTTTGTTCTATCCTATAGCTTTGGTTGCTACCGTCGATGCTTATATTGCTATCAGTCTTCGGAAGGTTCTTTAAATAGATTTTCATTGAAATCAATATACTAACACATGTAATCTTTTCAATATGCAGCTAATCTTGGATGTTACAAGTGACATGGCAGCACTAGAAGTGGGAGGAGGCCCATGGTTCAATACTTGGAAAGGGAAGACCACAACTCCAGAGGTCCTTAAAACTGCTCTTCAAGTTCCTGTTGACGTGGAAGGTATTTTTGGTTTGGCTCCATTTTTCAAACCCCCTGGGCTATGATAATAGATTGATCTCTGATTACATTCGTTAGCAGAACGACATATACCCTTTGATGTTCATACCTTGAAGAGAAAGTCCTATAATATGAAAACTAATCTACTACATTTAATTATGTTATATCTTACATTAAATTGGGTTGGGAGTGTCGTCCCTATAACGGATTTATGCAATATTCAATTTGGATTAGACCGGATATTGGTGGTTAAAAACTATAACATATATTAATCTTAAGATTCTGACTATAAATCTGTAACCGTAGCCAATTATCCATGTATGTATGTATGTATGTTGATTTCAAGCCAATGCCAAAATGCGAATCTAATGAGAAATTGAACAAGCAATCAATCATCCTCGATTTTTTTTCTTCAATGAAAATTGTTCTTCCTTTGTGTAAACCGTGACCAGATATGATTATAATATGACATCTATCCATTAATGAGAATTTACGCTGGGTTAGTTAATCTATATTTATAGTAAATTATACTACCCTTTGAAAATTGACATAGTTTCAATGATAAAAGTAAGTGTTATTTTTATTAAAGATTTTGAGTTCAACCAATTGCGTTTGAAATGATATACAGATATTATTAACAAACTTTTATTTAAAAATATAATTAGTATTATTTTTAAAATTAATTTATGTAATAATATAAAATTTTAGATTCAATTATTTCGTGAACATCTCATAGAAGCAGTTTCCATCGGATTTTCTTTGGTTTTGGCTTCCGAACCTTCTAAATCTTCTGTCTTGTTAAACATATAATTCAAAAACGATACCAATGTTTCACATCTATTGTTTTTTTTAATAGTGAAATAAGACTATCGTATTTGAATATAGCGGCAGCAAGTTTTTAGCTGTCATTTACATCTATTCCATTCCAGGTAACTAATCATGTATTGTCTCACGATCTTGTTTTGCAGATGCCCGATCCCGAGTCTTTTCTCCTTGGCAAGGACCATAAGCCTTTCTGCAACCTAAAAAATAGATAAAATTAACAACACTTAAGGCACAGCCAGAAGCCAATAATAGTAATCGTAATGACCCTTGTTAATATTGCTCGAAATCCAGCTTTCCCCTCTTCTTTTAGTTACATCATCAACTGCACTCGTTACAAAACTTGCCGCCACACTTCCTGCAGATGCTCCTAATGATTGAAGATTGTCTGCAACACGCTACATGGTTTTAGGTAATTCAGAGTAAAAGAATTCCGCCTGTCCAATTCCACTGAAAACCGAAGCCAAGCCACCCAGTATACAATATGGCAGAATCCATAGTGCAGGCATTTGCAATACGGTTTATCTGAAAGCAGTCCCGGATTGCGACTTCCCGATAAATATACTCCACGGTCGCTAATGATACCATGGATCCACATGACCAAACAAGTCTGATCCCCCATTCTTTGTTTGAGACTAAGACGAACCAGTTTACCTTTAAGTTTTGATGCTGAAGGAAAAGCTATCCGATCATACAATGCAATCGCTATTATAAATGTGATTATCATAAACACACCAAATGAACCTGCAGGAACTTCGAAATTCGGAGTTATATGTCGGTCCATGGTACCTGCTTGAATTACTACAAAAGAATCCAAAGAATATGTCGTGGCGGTGATGATTCCAGTAGACCAGATTGGAATCACTCTGATCAATGCTTTCAGCTCTTCTACCTGATCTATTGTACAAAGACTCCATTGAAGCATTTCCATCCGAGGTTAAATCCTGTTGAGGGTCATTTATCACACAAGTTTTATTCAGAAACCTCAAATTTTCACTCGGTACTTGAAGCACCGAACCTTTTCTGAAAAACCGGACTCCATTCGAGTCGATGTGTCGGTTCCGAAAGGAGGCCGATAGAACTTGGGCGAAACCAGTCAACAAGCTTTTCCCGGCTTTCAACTTGAGATACAATGACGATTCCATGAAGAAGAAAAGACATGAAATGAGCATTAAAATGGCAGGAACCCCGAATCCTATTATCCATCCTAACTTATCTTGAACATAAACGATGCAGGTTAACGCAATTAGAGCCGAACATTGGACAAAAACATAGTACCAACTGAAGTAGCTCTCCAAGGTTCTTGCATCTGCCACATTGTTTCTCTTGGTGAGCTGATCAGCACCAAACCCTAAGGAAGATGACTTTATGCCACCGCCTCCGATAGAGATTAGTGCTAATGAAGAATATAAGAGCAGAAGTTGGGGTGTTGTGGGGGATTCGCGGCTGCTACTGAAATTGTCACGATGAGGCCTTGCTTGTGTAAACATGGCTGTTAACCATAAAATAAACATTCCCTGCACATAAAAGGTTAAGTAATTAATCTATATATATTCATAATAGATAATAATATATTGGATCTCATGTTAGAACAAAACCATAAATAAATATAATTTTTTTCCAGGATCTAATCATGTCAAATCATCTAGAATAAAATATTAGATGCGGAACCGTACCTGAACTAATCAATAGGTTGAAATCCTTGAGTATATATTTAATTGTGATCTTCTAAGAAGATAGAGTTCCCTTAAATATAAACTCTATGGCGGGTATAAGAGTAAATACGACAGTGACTATTTCTTGGGGACCATAACCCCTTTATATACTTGATTTATGAATTGTTTGTTCTTATAACTCTGCCCCTCATCAAGTTATAAATACAACTTTAATAGTGTTTTCTATGACACTTCCAATACATTATTATAACATAATTGGTCACTTAATTTATGTCATATTTTATGATAACAATATACATTATAAATATGTGCCCATAATTATGGATTCTAATCCAACATCTCAATCATATATTATATAATACACCCAACAAACAAAGCTGTTCGAAAATAGAAATTACCTAAATAATTACAGCATCTAGAATGCAGAAAGTTGAGGTAATTAACAAAAATGGTGAAAGAAAGGATTACGAGGAAGCTGAAAATGGATCCGAATCCTATCATCAGGTACCTTCCCACATAAGAATCGGCAAGGAAAGCACCAACAATGGGAGAGAACTGATTGGAAGCTGACCACATGAAGATCAAGTTGGCTGCTTTAACATTTTCCAAACCATATTCAGTTGTGAAACACGGTATCATGCTGGGTAATAATCCCACACGTTGAAACACCTCGCTATTTACTGCCTTGTATGATTTTACCTGTGTCTCCTGGTAATTTTTTCAGGATTTGCTGCCTGGAACAAGTATCAGTCAAGCAATGTCGGTACTTCATTTGCTTTGAGTTTAATTGACCAGTAGCACTGATGCTGAAGTGATTTGAAGATATTTTTTAAATGTCCAATTGGGGTTATGGATCTTGGACATTGATGAGGCAGGTATGGGAATGGGAGGGGGGAAATTAGTTATGTTTATATAATTTTTTGAATAGTTTATAATGAATCATACACGTGTTTATGTAAACCAAGACATTATAAAATGGATGAGATTAGACCATTTCCAAATACGCTATTCCCTTGAATATAATACTCCAATTAGCAATGTCGGGAAAGAAAATTGTCTGACCGGTATTCCTATTCATTACTCCACGAATAGCGGAACTTCACATGGACTGTTTCCTGCCGTGCACAAAAACAAGTTCTTGTGATCTTGTCAGATCCTTGTTAAAAAATACATAACTTTCCGATGATCCGGTCCAAAATATTTTTGATTCCGACCACACAAATATTAATGGGATACATACAATACATGGTTTCCTTAACAATTTCTAACACAAAGGGAAAGTTAAAAATAGGGGTGATCAAAACTCTACTATGTTCGAAAAATTGAATTTTCTTCTTCTCAATTTCGAGTTATTTAGTCGAATTACTCGAGTCAACTTGAATTATAAATTCAGTTTTCGAGTTTGAGTCAAATTGAAATTTGAAAATTTGAAAATTTCAAGTTACTCGAAAAATCAAAAGTTTTGACTACGTATTTTGATAGTTTTACGATTTAGTCCCGTTATTCTTTCAATTCCTCCACCATTTTTAGACTATTTTTAACTTAATTTTTATATTTTCAGTTTTTTCATAATTTCCTTATTTCTTTAATTTATCCTTTATTTTAAGTCCCTTTTTTTTTACCAAATTTGAACCACATGCTCATAAATCACCATAGAATACTTATGTAACTTCAATTCTTATGTGTTTTTTTACTAAAAATGTACTCTCTTTTTTATTTAGACCCTTAACATTGTAATTTACTCAATTTGATCTTTTGGCTGTAATTATTTGCAAATTCTTTCTTCCCATCGATTCCTTTACTCTTTTTATACTCTCATCAAAATTTTACCCTCAAAATAAAGAAAAATATAATATTATGAATATATTTTATGATTTTAGATTGTATTTGACATATTAAATAACATTATAATGTAAAAAGAATATGATATATATATCGTTAGATAAAGTTGAAAAATTAGAACAAATTCTTACCATAATACTATAAATAATTACAATAAAATTAACATAGAAACTCGAATAACTCGACTCAAATTTCTTAAACTTTACTCAACTAAAAAAAATCAAGTTAAGTTTAAGTTGTAAAATACGACTCGTCAATTCGAATAACTTAAAAAAAATTATTCAACTCGATCGAATGCTCACCCCTAATTAAAACCATTACAAATAAACTTTATCAGTACGTGTACTAATGCTTTAGGTATGGATGGCCCCATAGAGCCCGTAAAGCTAGAGTGCTTCATCTGCTTTTCTATTTTCGGTGACAAATCAAATATTTGGGCCATGCTCTGTTTGCTTCTAGAAATATGTTTCTGTGCAGCGTTGGGTTATAACCCGATGGATATTTATATACAATGGGCGTGAAAGAGAGGGCCCTCGGCACTAGCCTGGGCCACTGGTAATGGTGACAAAAGAGAACTCGTGTAATAATGACGCTCGATGAAAAAATTTCCTTTACTCTTTTATAATATGTAAAGCTGAAATATAGGAAGCTGTGGACAAAGATGAAGTGCCTTTAATGGGGGATCCTTTCCAGATTCCAGTACTATTTGACGCCAGACAGAATAGTGATTATCCTGTAGGCTAGCTCCGACAGACGATTCACAAGAGAAAATTCGCCCAAAAACCAGAGAAAAAAAAAGTCTCTAGGGTTTAATAAAATATTATAAAATCAATAACTGTCAAAAGCAGTCCACAAGCCGGACTGTTATAGCTAAAAAAATCGTCTTTATTCGAATTTTGCCAAAAATAGCAAAAATCGTATTTATTCGAATTTTGCCAAAAATAGCAAAATCCCGAAAATCACTCTAAATTGAAATTCGAAATAAAATAAGCAATCTCCCAAAAATCCGGTCTAAATCGGATTTAAATTGACTTCCTAATTAACAATCGAAATATTACCATAAATAGTAAAAAATAACTAAATCTAGTGATTCGGAGGGGAAAACGGCAGAATTTGAGGTTGAAAAAAAGGCCACATGGAGCGTAGCTCAATGTGGAGAGCGTGCGCGTCGAAAAGAGCTTTCCGGATTGGGGTCTTATGCGCGATTCTGACACCTGTAGCCAAAGTTATGGCCAAAAGACTGAAACATACTCAAAACGACCCCAATAAGGAACATGTCACAATCAATTCCCGCCTTTGCGCTGATCTGCCAACTCATGGTATCTCAGCGCCATCAACGTGCAATCTGACAGCTCAGCATCATCTGTCTCAGATCCCCCTGCATCAGTCGCCCCGGGTTGGAAAGAACTCGTCCTCGAGTTCAGAGTAGTGTCATCAGGATCCACAAAACAATGACTCAGGTGCTTCACATTAAAGACATCAGAAGTCTTCAAGTGACTGGGAAGTCGCAACCTGTAAGCATTATCATTGATCTTCTGTACGACCTCACAAGGTCCAATCTTCCGATCCTTAAGCTTATTATACTCACCAACAGGAAAACGATCACGAGTTAATACAGCCCAAACAAAATCACCAACATCAAAAAGTACCTGACGACGATGATTGTCGACCCGAGTCTTGTACTTGGTATTGCTCTCATGAATGGTCTGTTTCACCTGCTCATGGATACCCCGAAGATACTTTGCCATCTCATCTGCTTTAGGACTGAAACGTCCTATACGTGGAATAGGGGCTAAGTCCAACACCCCGGATGGGTTCTGACCATAGACAATCTCAAATGGGCTTAAACCTGTGGTTCTGTTTTTTGATCTGTTGTAGGCAAATTCTGCCTGAGGCAATGCCAAATCCCACTGCTTCGGCTTCGTTCCTGCCAAACACCTTAAAAGGTTTCCCAAACTTCGGTTCACCACCTCAGTCTGGCCATCCGTCTGGGGGTGGTAGGCGCTACTGAAATTCAACTGCGTTCCCAGTTTCCCCCACAGGCTCTTCCAGAAATGACTGATGAACTTAGTATCACGATCTGAAGTGATGGATCGAGGAACACCATGTAAACGCACAATCTCCTTGAAATAGAGATGGGCAATCCGGTCAGCATCCATAGTCTTTCTGCAAGCTACAAAATGAGCCATCTTGGAAAACCTGTCAACCACAACAAAGATAGAATCAGAGGCCCTTTGGGTGCGGGGTAAGCCTAGTACAAAATCCATGCTGACATCGAACCAAGGAGCTTCAGGAACAGGTAAGGGAGTGTACAATCCCGCATTGGTGAGAACTCCCTTAGATCGCTGGCACACATAACAACGGTCCACATAATGGGCCACATCACTAGTCAACTTGGGCCAATAAAATTCAGAAGAGATAAGGGCCAATGTCTTATCTCGGCCAAAGTGTCCCTCATTATGGAGTTCACTTATAATTTGCTGCCTCAATGAACAATCTGGAATGCACAATTGTAATCCACGAAACAGATACCCATTATGCAAAACAAAATCATGACGGTGACCCTCAGTTACCTCCTGAAATATCCTTCCAAAGGAAGGATCAGCTGCATACATATCTGTGAACGTCTCAAATCCTGCAACTTTAGTACTCATGGTGGTGAGAAGTAAGGTACGACGGCTCAGGGCATCTGCGACGCGGTTCAAACTCCCTGCTTGGTGCCTCAGCGTAAAAGTGAATTCTTGCAAGTATGCTACCCACTTGGCATGACGTCTACTCAGCTTGTGTTGGCCATTGATGTACTTCAAGGCCTCATGATCGGTAAACAGAATAAACTCCTTCTGTACTAGGTAGTGACGCCAATGCTTCAGGGACTGAACTATGGCATAGAACTCCAGATCATAAGTGGAATAATTTTTCTTTGATCCCGATAGCTTCTCACTGAAAAAAGCAACCGGACGACCTGCCTGACTCAGAACACCACCAATGCCAACGCCAGATGCATCACAATTTACCTCGAACACTTTGTCAAAATCTGGAAGTGCCAAAACTGGAGCCTCGGTCATCTTCTGCTTGACCAGTTGAAAACTGGCCTCTGCCTCCTCAGACCACTGGAAATCACGCCCCTTGAGGCACTCTGTGATAGGGGTGATCAGAGTACTGAAATTTCTAATGAATCGACGGTAAAAAGACGCCAAGCCATGGAAACTTCGGATGTCATGTAATGTTCTTGGTCTGGGCCACTCCAAGACTGCATCTATTTTTGACTGATCTGCATGAACACCATCAGTAGACACAACAAAACCAAGAAAAGTCACAGAAGTAGTGAAGAAAGAACACTTCTTTTGATTGACAAACAAGCACTCCGTTTTCAGCATCTCAAAAACAGCACGGAGGTGATCGAAGTGTGAAGTCCATGTCGGACTATAAACGAGGATATCATCGAAGTAAACTACAACAAATTTCCCCATAAAAGGCCGCAAGACCTGATGCAT